TTGCAAGCCAGACTCGGGGGCTCTGCTTGGCCAGCGGGCTGCCCTAGAGGGGAATATTTTAAAGACAAATGATTTTTTACTTTTGGCGAGATGATTTCTGGGAGAACTTTCTTTTCCTCCCTTTTCAGCAAGGTACTCAGGGGAGCTAAACAGCCTCCACCATTAGTATTCTGCTGTTGTATCTTAGAGACTGATAAATAGGGAGTGGGCAACGTTTGAATCCACGGCTTTTCAGGCACCTGAAGCCTTAAGAGCCTGTATCATGGGGTAAGCAGAATGGCAAATGTGTTTCTGATAATGAATTTCCTTTCCAGGTACCAACTTCTTACTCACCTCGTCAGGACAGGCCTCCAATGAAACCCTTCATTCTCACTCGGAACATGACCCAAGCCAAGTAGGTAGTACTAAAAAGTGGGTTGCCTTTGTAGGCACCCTGCTTTTATGGTTCAGTTACAGTGCATGTTAAAAGGCCATGTCCTCATCTGTGGTGGCTGTTCTTTCATCAATGCGATGTTACCTCTAATATTTTCTATATGTCTGTCTTCATCAGACATGTCACTCAAACTCAAGCTCAAAAGTAGGCTCAAAAGAAAACTAACAAAAATAAAACAGAGGAAAGGAATCTGGTGGAGAATTGTACACTTCAATTGTTTCCCATTGCCTTCAGCTACAGTTTTCAAAAGGACATATTGGCCTGTTTCGGATTTAATTCTGAGTTCTTGAAAGAAGACACTCTTCCATTGGGTGGCAGGAAAGTCTCCTTTCCTCTGTGTACTGTTCAGACCCACCAACTATAAATACAAAGCATCTGCTTTGTGGGACACTGGCCTCTGGGATTGCTTTCTGAGCGATGATCCTGAGCTATTTATCTTCTTGTGAAAGCTCTTGACTATAATGCCCCTTCCTGGATGCTTCTTGTTACATATCCTCCAGTTTACATAGCTCCTCAGAAGATAGCTGGGCAGGGGAGCCAGGATGAAATAAACGCAGCCTTTGTCACTAAAGAGAAGAGGCTTTTTAGTAGTGCTGTGCGTGTTTAGTTTTCTAAATGTGGTGTGATTCTTGCAGAGTATTTGGAGCTGGTTATCCAAGCCTGGCATCTATGACAGTGAATGACTGGTATGATCAGCATCGGAAATATGGAGCATTACCAGATCAGGGCATAACCGTGACAACACCAGGTATGAAGGGGTAGGAGGAAAGCAGTTATACTATTATTGGTCCCTTACTCCCTAGCAGTTAAATTCAGACCAAGTATTATTGCCCTTTAGGAGCAGAAGGAATCTGAACAGAGATTCTAGGCAATATTTTATGTTATTTATTATTAAGATAAATAGCAGATGATTTGGGAAAGATGCAGGGAGCAGCTGTATGATTCTGGAATCTTTCCAGATGTCGTGGCATAAAAACAGACTGAGCATCTAGATAGCAAAACCAAAAATCCATGGACTGCAGTTGCACCTCTGGTAATGGCAGAGTAGGTTGTATCAGGCTAATCCCTCCCACAGATAATAATTACAAACTGAAGAAAATAAAACCTCTACCTAAAGGAACTAGAGAGTGACCAAAAGCAGACATAGACTGGAGAGTAGTCAACACTTAGAAGAAGGGAATGGTACTTGGAATTTCTTGAAGACAGGGACTTTGACTTACTGTATTCTTGGTGTCCAACTCGGTAATTAGATCACAGTACATACTTGGAGTCATCTTTGGAAGGGAGAGGTGGAGATGGGTGTCCCTATAAAGATGGAAGCAACATGGTATATTAGAAAAAGTGTGGACAAACCTGGGGTAACCAATTACTCCTGCTACTTAATAGATAGGACATCACCTAGCCCCTCTGAGCCTGTTTCTTATATCATTTGATCCTCTTAACAACGCTATGAAGCAAATATCCTTATCCCCGTTTTAGGATGAGGAAATGGTGTCTGAGAACTGACGTACCCAAACACAACATAGCTAGAAAGTGGCCAGGCTAGGATTTGAATGCAGGTCTTAAAACCCCCAGTTCCAGTGCTATTTCCACTATAGCACAGAGAAGAGAAGAAAAGAGAAGAGAAGAGAAGAGAAGAGAAGAGAAGAGAAGAGAAGAGAAGAGAAGTCATTTGAAAGGGTTTCCTGTTTCTTACATCTTCTCACCCACTGGCAGTCTGCAGTTACTGTGATGTGGGGGTAGGTGAAACTTGGATAGATACTTACAGCCTTACTGGTTGAGGAATGAGAGAAATGACTTCAAGGTGACCATAGCAACTGAAAAATGAGATGATATCTCATAAAGGAGAGAACCTCAGAGGAGGAGCCCTGATTCTCTGTATAAACCTTGCCCAAATCTCAGGCTGACACCTAAGCTATGTGTGCCCAGGATAGATTCCAAGCGCTCTAGATAAGGCTAAAGTAACAATGGAGGATTCAGCTGCTGCCCAGTGCAGAGGAAATAGAATTTGGAATTTTGGTTCTAGACAAATGAAGTGCCTGCTAAAATGAAACAGAACTCAGAATCTCTACAACATACCATTCACAAAGTCTGGGATTTAATTCCAAACTATTATACATAGAGAGAAACAGGAAAATGGGACTTCTGCTCAAGAGGAAAAGCAATCAGTGGAAACAAACCCCAGATGACACAGATGCTGAAATTAGCAGACAGGGACTTTAAACCAGCTTATTTACATGTTCAAGGACAGGGGAAAATATGCTTGTAATAAGTGAGAAGATAAGAAGTCTTAGTAGATAATATCTATTATCCACTAACTTTGTATTTACAAACAGTACCTGCTACCCAGAGACAAGTATTAATGTAGCCCATATGGACTCTTGAACCCTCTTGAGATTACAACATACATGCTCCTAAATCATTGTGGTTGGATTTTCAAGTATCCTAACTTGTTCCTGGACATGTAACATGTTGATAAACCTCTCAATTTTTAGCAACATATAGAAACACCTCCAATCAAAAACACTTCACAAGTTCTACTTTGTGTCAGCCATTGCTGACATTCTGTCCCTAGAGAATACAGTGATATCTGGTGTGTTGCAAGCTTTCAAGATAGCCTGAACTTTAAAAAGTTGGTCCATTTAGTTGTATCCAATGGATGTAGATTTGCCTCCTAGTTCACTTTGTGTCAGGAGCTAAAACTGTGAACCTAACTTTCTGTTATTGGTGAGTAATAACTAAAAATAAAGATTTTATTTTCATGCTCAAAAAAAAGAAAAGAAAGGAAAGAACTCTCAGTGGAGAAGTGCGAACTATACACAAATTCTGAAACTGAAAAATACAGTATCTGAAGTTTACAAACATTGGATAAGATTAATAATAGCAAATTGGCAGTGACAGAAGAAAGTGTCAGTGAATTTGACAATAGATTAATTCCAATTAGTCTGACAAACAACAAATTGGAAAAAAAAAAAGGTGAACAGAGCCTCTGTGACCTGTGGAACAAGGTTAAAAGGTCCACGATATGTACAGTTGAAATACCATTAGGAAAGGAGAGAGACAGAGAAGGGGCCAGGAAAAAAATTTTTTGAAGAAATGATGGCTGAAATGTTCCCTAAATCAATGAAACACAAATTTACAGATTCAGAAATTATATCAAGCCCCAAGCAAGTTAAATACAAAGAAAGCCACACATAGGCACATCATTGTCAAACGGCTGAAAACCAAAGGAAAAGAGAAAATCTTGAAAGCAGCCAGGGATAAAGTACACATTACATTTAGAAGAACAACAATAGGAGTTGTTTCTGACTTCCCATTAGAAGCAGTGGGAGCCAGAGGCAGTGGAGCAACATCTGTAAAGTTTTGGGGGAAGAGGAAGACCTGTCACTCCAGAATTTTATACCCAGTGAAAATATACATCAAAATGAAGGCATAATTAAGGCATTTTCAGATAAGGCTGAAGGAATTCTTCACCAGGAAACTGGCATTATGAGAAATTCTGAAGGAAGTTCTTTAGGCTAAAGGGAATGATACCAGATGGAAACTTGGATATTCAAGGATAAGGTGCAGCAGAAATGGTAATTATGTGGGTAAATACAAAGGACTATCTCCCTCCCAACTTTTTGAAAGGGCTTTTTGAAAAAAGGCTTCCTTAAGGCAAAAATTATAATAGCGTCCTGTGGGGATTATAATGTATGTAGATGGAATACATATGATGGCTATAGCAAAAAGAACAGAGTAAATGGGATCTTGTTTTGTGAGATTCTTCTGTTTTATGTGAAGTGGTACATATTATCTATTGCTGTGTAACAGGTTACTACAAAATGTAGCAACTTAAAATAATAAACATTTATTGTCTCACATATTTTCTGAGGGTGAGGAATTCAGGATCAACTTTACTGGGTGACTCTGACTTAGGATCTCTTGAGGTTGCAGTCAGGGTGTCAGCTGACACGTAAGCTATACAGTCTTCTGAAAGCTTGACTGAGGCTGGAGGATCTGCTTCCCACTCATGGACTCATCATTCATGTGGCTATTGGCAGGGGGCCTCCCCTTGTGGTTCTCTGAGGTTGCTCACAGCTAAGAGCTTCCTTTCCCCAAAGCAAATGATCTGAGTGAGAATGACCAGGACAGAAGCCTCAGTATCTTATATAACCTAACATTGGAAGTGACATACCATGACTTCTGTCATATTCTGTGGGTCACATAGTATGGGAGGGGACTACAGAAAAGCGTGAATACCAGAAGGCTGAGACAGATAGAGTCCATCTTTGAGGCTGTCTCTGACATGGTTCGGTATTAACTCCAAGTACACTGGGAAGTTAGGAAGGAATATTGTATTACCTAGAGCAACCACTTAAAAAATAATGGATCGGGGCGCCTGGGTGGCACAGTCGGTTAAGCGTCCGACTTCAGCCAGGTCACGATCTCGCGGTCCGTGAGTTCAAGCCCCGCGTCAGGCTCTGGGCTGATGGCTTGGAGCCTGGAGCCTGTTTCTGATTCTGTGTCTCCCTCTCTCTCTGCCCCTCCCCTGTTCATGCTCTGTCTCTCTCTGTCCCAAAAATAAATAAAAAACGTTGAAAAAAAAATTAAAAAAAAAATGGCTCAAGAGAATGAGAAGACAAGATACAGACTGGCAGAAAATATTTGCAAAAGACAAATCTGATAAAAGACTCTTCTCCAAAACATACAAAGAATTCTTAAAACTCAACAATAAGGAAACAAATACCCAATTAAAAAATAGGCAGAAGACCTGAATAGACACCTCACCAGAGAAGATCTACAGAGGACAAATAAGTATATGAAAAGCTCAACATCATATGTCATTAGGGCATTGCAAATTAAAACAACAGTGATACCACTACACCCCTAGAAGAATGGCCAAAATCCAAAACACTGACAACACCAAAAGCTGACATGGGTATGGAACAACGGGGACTTATTCCCTACTGATGAGGATGCCAAGTGGTACAGCCACCTGGGAAGACCATTTGTTACAAAACTTAAACATGCTCTTACCAGACAATCCAGCAATCCTGCTCCTTGGTATTTACCCAAATGAGTTGAAAATTTAGGTCTACATAAAACCCTACACACAAGTGGTTATGGCAGCTTTATTCATAATTGCCAAAGTTGGAAGCAACCAAGATGTCCTCAGTAGCTTGAAAGGATAAAGTGTGGTACATCCAGACAATAGAATAGTATTCATTGCTACAAAAAAAAAAATGAGCTTATCAAGCCATAGAAAGACTTGGGAAAACCTTAAATAACATATTACTAAGTGAAAGAAGCTGGTCTGAAAAGGCTACATGCTAATCCAATTCCAACTATATGACTTTCTGGAAAAGGCAAAACTGGAGAGACAGTAAAAGGATCAGTGGTTTCCAGGAGTTAGAGGAGGAAGGATGAACAGGTGGAGCACAGAGGATTTTTAGGGCAGTGAAACTATTGTATGTATACTAGTGGATACATGTCATTGTATACATTTTTCCAAACCCACAGAAGGTACAACACCAAGAATGAACTCTAACATAAATTGTGGACTTTGGATGATACTGTTGTGTCTGTGTAGATTTGCTGATTGTAACAAGTATTTTACTCTGGTGCAAGATGCTGATAGTGGGGGAAGCTATGCCTCTGCGGGGACAGGAAGTATATGGCAACACTGTGTATTGTTTGTTTTTAAAAATAATGCAGATAGACAAAGCTATAAAGTCAGTGGAGAAATTAAAAGAGAAGAAAGCAAAAAAGAACAAATAGAGAAACAAACAAGAAAAATAGATGCGGTGAACAGAAAACCAATAGCAGAATAATAGATCCCATTCCAGTAATATCAGTAATTAGTCTTACTTTAAATGGAATAAACCTCCAAATTAGAAATCAGAAATTGATTTCAGATTCAGCCACATGCTGTCTACAAGAGATGCATTTGATTTTATTAAATGTTTATTTATTTTGAGAGAGCAAGAGTGAGCACATGTGGGGGAGGGGTAAAGAGAGAGGGAGAGAGAGAATCCCAAGCAGGCTCTGCACTGTCAGCACAGAGCCCGACACAGGGCTTGGTCTCACAGTTCGTGAGATCACAGATCATCAGATCATGACCTGAGCCGAAATCAAGAGTCAGACAATCAACCAACTGAGCCACCCAGGCACCTCAAGAGATGCATTTTATTTTTTTTTTTATTTTTTTTTAACATTTATTTATTTTTGA